AGAAAAGGGAGCACTTATTTGAATACATATGTTCTCATACTTCTAATTTACATGAGAGTCCTCAGAGTCCAATATTAAGTATTTTCATGCAATAAACTGAAAGCTCAAAAAACTATTCAATTAAAGTGTGGCAGCCAATCTCCAAGTGGGAAGTGAGGGCCCCAGCAATCCCTTACCTCCTGGTATTCACACCCTTATACAGTCCTCTCCTACAATGTACCAAGATTGGTGTCTGTGAACAATAGTAGCTCAGAATTGATGATATCTCCTTCCCAAGCCAACTTTTAAAAGACACTTACATCTTGGCCTTTTTTCTTGAACCATTCTTTCTGGGGTAAGCCAGTTGCTATGTTTTAAAGACACTTAGGCAACCTATGGGGAGATTCAGATGGGAAAGAACTAACGTGGCTAGGGGTGGTGGCTCCCGCCTGTAATCCTAGTACTCTAAGAGGCCAAGATGGGTGGATTTCTTGAGTTCAGGAGTTCAAGACCAGCCTGAGTAAGAGCAAGACTCCATCTCTAAACCTAACTGGGTGCCTGTAGTCCTAGCTACTGGGGAAGCTGGGAGTTGAACCCAAGCGTTTGAGGCACTCTACCCAGGATGGCAAAGTGAGATTCTTTCTTAAAAACAAAACAAAACAAAATAAACTAATATCTTCAGACAGCAGCCAGCAAAGAACTAAAGACTGTCAGGGAAGAGAGTTTGGAGGATAATGCCCTACTTCTCCAAGTCAAATCTTCAGATGACTGTAAACCTCACAATCTAAGCCACAAATTCCCAGCCCTGATTTCCAGACTCCTGACCCACAGAAACTGTAAGATAGTGTGTGCTTTAAACTACTAAGGTTAACTAATACAAAGGGTCACAATCCATATCAGAAAAGTAAAATGTACAACTAACTTATCATGAATTAACTGAAAGATTCAGGACTGTCTTTATTTAAATTTGGTCACCAATAATTTCAATACCATAAGGCTTTCTGAAGCAGAAGACAGAGAACTCAAAAGATGAAAAATACAACCGGAGTCTTGGCGCCCGTAGCACAGTGGTTATGGAGCCAGCCACATACACCGAGGCTGGTGGGTGCCAACCTGGCCCGGGGCCAGCTAAGCAACAATGACAACTGCAAAAAAAAATAGCCGGGTGTTGTGATAGGAGCCTATGGTCCAAGCTACTTGGGAGGCTGAGGCAAGAGAATCGATTAAGGAGTCTGAGGTTGCTGTGAGCTGTGACAACACAGCACTCTACTGAGGGTGACATAGTGAGATTCTGTCTCAAAAAACATAAAAAAGAAAACTATAACGGGAATAGGAGTCAGTCATACCAGGACAACAAGAAGGTTCTAGTATAACTAGCCAAGAATCTGACAGAAGGGTAGGTGTTCAGCAAGCAAAGTACCAGTCTTAGAATGTAAAAATTCTTTGTCTACTTTCATACGGTTATTATGAGAAATAAATATTATTTTAAAAAACCAACTCTCTTTTTACATATATAAAAACTTAAGCACAATGCCTGGCCCATAGTAACCATTAACTGTTATTCTTTCCCATGTAGCTAATTAATGAGCTTATATACCTTAAAATAGGTAATCAGATTTCACTAAAGCCTTTATAAATCCAGTGGACAATCCTCCAATTCCAATTCACTGCTATGGTTCTAGGAATACTTAATACATTTAAAACAGAAAGATATACTTACTACCTTCCCTGCATGGCTCGAGTATCTTCTAAGATCTATGTATCTTTTCCCAACATCTCTGAGAGAATAATTCCTAAAAAGAGATACTTTCTTTTAAATTACTCTGAGTGATGGTCAATGGCCTGTGCAAGTTAACACTGTCTTTAACACAGCTTACATATCCTCATTTAAGTATTCAGTAATCACAACGGTTCATTATATGAACAACAGTGAAAATGTTTAATCACTGGATATGAAGTTACTAGAAGTTAAAGATATAACAAAATGATCAAATTGAGAACCTTTACTAGTGTCACTAGTAAAAGACAGTAAACCGCAGCAACAACTAAAAAGCATATAAAAGTTACAAACAGATGTAAAGATATACAAATACAACTAAAAACAGTTATTTCCATGTACAAAGGATTATTTATTTCCCTCTCCAGAAGTACACTAAGAATATCTATAGCAGTGACTCTTTGCGTGGCTTCTGTAAAGGAAGATAGTTGTTTCATTTAAGTCTGTTCTGATAAAGCAGTTTCCAGCAACTCATTTGCAATTAATCATTATAAGAATGTAATCAGAATAATATAAGAATCTCTGTTTAATCTTTAGGAGAGCCACAGTAGTTGGAAGCCAATTAAGCAGGAGAGAAAACAGCCCTTACTTCAGATGTTGAACTAGTAGCAATACTTTCAACTCATATTGTAAGAAAATGGCAAAGAGTGCCTATACCTGCAAACTTTTGAGTCCTTAAGAAAAAGCAGGCCAGGCGCAGTGGCTTACGCCTATAATCCTAGCAGTCTGGGAAACTGAGGCGTGTGGAGTACCTGAACTCATGAGTTCAAGACCTGCCTGGACAAGAGCAAGACCCCATCTCTAAAAATAGCCATGCGTTGTTGTGGGCACCTGTAGTCCTAGCTACTCAGGAGGCTGAGGCAAGAGGATCACTTGAGCCCAAGAGTTTGAGGTTGCTGTGAGCTATGACACCATGGCATTATACCAAGGGTGACACAGTGAGACTGTCTTAAAAAAAAAAAAAAGCAAACACCAAAATGAGGTACCACTTCACACCTTTGAAAATGTGGAGACATTGGGGGCCTCATCCACTTCTAGTAGGAACAGTCTGGCACTTCCTCAAGAAGTTAAACATAGTAATCATATGACCCAGCAATTCTACTACTAGGTATATTATCAAGAGAAATGAAAATGCAAGTCCACACACTTGTACACTCATGTTCATAGCAGCATTATTTGTAATAGCTAAGAAAATTGAAAAGAACCCAAATGTCCACTGATTGATAAATGGATAAATAAAAGTTGGTATATCCATACAATGGAATATGATTCAGCAATAAAATATTGATACATGCTCCAACATGGATGGCGCTGAAAACATTCTAAGTTAAAGAAGCCTGTCACAGAGACCATACAGTCATTTATGATTACACTTACATTAAGTGTGCAAAACAGGAGAATCCACAGAAAGTAAATTAGTGATTCCTAGGAGACGCTGGTATAGAGGACCACTAATGAGAATTAGGGTTTCTTCTTGGAGTGATGAAAATATTCTTAATTGTGTTGATGGTTGCATGACTCTGCATATACTAAAAACCATTGAACTGTATACTTTAAACTATTTGGGGGGAGAGAGGGGGCAGTGTGGTGGCTCACACCTATAATCTCAACATTTGGGGAGGCTAAGGTAGGAGGATCACTTGAGGCCATGATTTCCAGACCAGCCTGGGTAACATAGTGAGTCCTGGTTTCTTAAAAAAAATTAATTAAAACCTGAGTGGGACACAGTGGCACTCACCTGTAGTCCCAACTACACAGGAGGCTGAGGCAGGAGAATCGCTTCTAAAGGCCAGGAGTTTAAAGTTGCAGCGAGCTATGATAAGGGTGACAAGGAAAGAACTTGTCTCTGGGAAAAAAAAAAAATCGAAATAAAACTATTACAAAAAATAAGGCAACCAAGTTTTTCCTTAAATGTGGAAAAAAATAGTGTTAAGTCTGTTTAGCCTCATACAGGTCCTAAGTGGCTGAGTACTAAGACAAAAACTCTAACACTTCAACCAACTAACAGTATTTAAACCCACGTCCCAGGGTCTTTCAGCCAAATAAGCATCTCTCTCACACATCCCCACCGACCAGTTTTTCCAAAGTTCATGCTTATGCCATATGACTTTAAAGAAAACATAAACAAAAGCCTGTTAATTTAGGATAAGATATAAACATTTTATGATGGAAACATTTTATATATACTTTGTTATGAATCTTTCTCTATGGAATCTGGACAAAATAAACACAAAGGGGAAAAAGCAGCAATCATGTTAGGCCTCAAAATTTGGAATCATTTTTGTGAGCTACACAAAGAAATGAAAGCTTTAAATACTTCTTTGGTTTCTTCTTTTCATGTTAAGCCTGGAGACGGACATTTCGGTTTTCTATAAAAAACTCCTCTAACATTGTGCAGGAGAGAAAACAGACAATATACTAAGGATCTTCTCAAAGATTAAGGAAAAAAAAACTATGTCCTACGTTGGCTCGTTTTCTTCTAAGAAAACTGTAATCTCTTACCTTAAGCATAAAGAGTTTAACTAAAACATTGTTCCAAGCGTTTCTCACTCCCGAAAACTATCCATAAAGCCCTATTTCTAACAATCGTCATTGCCCCTTCTCTCCTGTACCTAATACTACAATTCACGAATTCCCGCGAGCCCGTGAATTTCCCAGGGAACTTACCTGATTTCCTTCTTAATTCTCTCACAGTGTCAAAATGTGTTTCAGAAAACGGTTCGCTGAATTAGAAGTCGGCATATACTGCTCTCGTACGCTTCTCTAGAATGAATCTTACACCTATGACTAGCCAGGTCAAGTGCTCCAATATTACCTCCGCAGCAGAAAGCTACAAGATAAAATTCAAGATAAAAACCCATTTCAGTAAATCACTTATTTTTGGCTCGACTTAATCGTCAACGTTTCTAAAGCACATTTTGTCCAGAGCTCTTATCCCTTCCTTCAGGATATCCTCCACCTTCAGAGATCGCACCCGGGGGCCAGTCGGCATTCTTCTGGTCTTTTCTCAATTCCAGTCCTGCCTCTTTGCTCCGCACAGCCCCCACAAGAAGCCCGATGGAGCCGGATTAAACCAGAACAGGTGAAAACAGAAGGAAAATAAGACGGTCTTAGCAAAACCCATCATCCATCCTCCAATAGGGAGGGAGGAGAGGTCAAGTGCGCGTCTTACTGCCTCAGCCTTTCCAATTGGCTGCTGTGACACAACGTGGCCCGTGATTGGCTACGGCGCCAAGCCCAGAGCCTACCGAATGGAAGGGTGGGAGTCTCGCGCCTCTAAAGCCCGCCTTTCCTGACAGATAAAGGTCGTCGCTGGTGAGTCAACGGGCGGAGCTAAACTGACCGTGATTCATACCGTCGCGGGATGCCCGAAGGTGGAGCATCACGTAAGAAGATGACCAGAAGTTGCTCTGCAGTGGGCTGCACTACCCGGGACACCGTGCTGAGCCGGGAGCGCGGCCTCTCCTTCCACCAGTGCGTGTGAGAATTGCCTCGGAGCCGTCAAATTCCCCGCAGGGCCTGGCCGGCTGTAGGCCGGGGCGGAGCGGAGCGGGGCGGGGCGGGGAGTGCGTCGCGCCGCGACGTGACGTACATAGCGTGGGGGCGTGGGAGCAGAATCGGGGAGCTTTTTGAGAGTGGAGGTTTTCCTCCTGCTCAGTATTACCCTCATTACCCTGGAGCGGCTGGATGTTTCTCGCTACCTGCTGTAACTGGCCTATTAAATTTGGACACAGTCTCGCTCCGTTGCCCAGGCTAGAGGGCAGTGGCCTCATCACAACTCACTGCAACCTCGCTCCTGGATTCAAGCGATCCTCCTGCCTCAGCCTCCAATCGCTGGGACTACAGGCACCGGTCACAAAGCCCGGCTAATTTTAATATTTTTTTTGTAGAAACAGGGTCTTGCGTTTGCTCAGGCTGGTGTAGAACTCCTGGCCTCAACTGGTGCTTTTGCCTCGTCCTCCCCGAGTGCTAATGCCTAATGGCTTTTAACTTGAGTTACTGGAAAGGAGCCTTGCTTTCTTATGATGGTCTTTACTAGAACTGTTGAAGGCGTGAGTGTCCATTAGAATGCGTGGCATGAATACAGATCCGTTTCTCCCTGTACTGCTTGCCATTGCAAGTATTATTGGCCCAGTTCTGATTTAGATTGAATTCGATTATGGCAAGATTTCGTTTGGCTCAGGGTGGGCAGAATTTCAGAGTAGTCTTATTTGAACTAACATCTGTGGTCCACATTAGGATAGGACATTCAAATCCACTCTTAAGTCTTATGAGAAGCAGGCTGGACGTGGTCGTTCATGTTGCCTGTAATCCTAGCACTTTTGGGAGGCTGAAGCGGGTGGATCACCTGAGGCCAGGAATTCTAAAACAGTCTGGGTAGCACAGTAAGACCCCTCTATACGAAAAATTAAAAAATTAGCTGGGAGTGGTGGCAGCAACGAACTGCTTGAGCTGTGATGGTGCCACTGCTCTCTAGCCTGAGTGACATAGTGAGACCCTGTCTCGGAAAGAAAAAAACATCGTCACATTAAAAAAAGACTTCAAAAAGAGATAGCCTGTTAAGATGTTTATGAGATGTATTGAGTAAAACTATGAGAGAGCACTTTTATGGCAGGATCTAAAAGAGCTTTTCTGGGTGGAGGAACGGGAATAGCACTTTAAGAATAACAATGGATGGCGCAGCCTGTGGCTTAAAGGGGTAGAACCCGGCCCCCATTATGCTGGACGTGGTAGATTCAAACCCAGCCCCGGCCAAAAACTGCAAAAAAAAAAAAAAAAGAATAACACGGGAAAAATGTAAAGAGGTTGAAAGTATAGGTAAAGCGTAGAGGAGTGGAAAAGAACTTTGAAGACAAATACTTTAAAAATTTAGATGCCAGATGAGGAGGTTTGGGCCAAGTGTGGCAGGTCTTTTGTAGTCATTCACTGAGATTTTTTTTTTTTAATAGCTCTCATTCCTCCACCTCCGTTGCAATTGGATCCTTTCCTGTCTCCTTTGGGACTTTTCCCCTAAACTGCTCTTACTGTTTACTTACCTAAAGCCACTAAGCATGCTCATATTACTCCCAGTTTGGAACCCAGTTGCATACAACTCTTGAGCCTGTGTGTACTTACACCCTGCTCTACCAGTCTCCTTACCTTTATTATAAGGCTCCTCAAAACTAGAGCATATACCTACTTCCTTAAGTCTCATTGGCTTTTCATCTATTGTAGCCAGTCAGCTGCCAGCACTGACAGAGAATCACCAGTAATCTTGACAGTTTTAGTCAAGATTGGTCCTTCTCTTGACCTGTCTTTAATTTTTTTTTTAAAGACAGAGTTCATTTTGTTGCGCTACATAGAGTGCCATGGCATCATAGCTCACAGCAACCTCGAACTCTTGGGCTCCAGCAATTCTCTTGCCTCAGCCTCCCAAGTAGCTGGGACTACCTGTGCCTGCCATAATGCCTGCCTGTTTTTAGAGACAAGGTCTCACTTTTGCTCAGGCTGGTCTCAAACCTGTGACCTCAGGCAGTCCACCGGCCTGGGCCTCCCAGAGTGCTAGTATTACAGACAAGAGCCACCCTGCTAGCCTAATTTTTTTTTTTTTTAATGTTTGAGTACAAAGAATTAGGTTATGCTGATTGCATTTGTTAGGTAAAGTACCCTGTCCTGCCCCCAAGAGGTGTGCCATACACTTTGACCCCCACCCCCAACCTCCTCTATCCTTAACCTGCTCTCTCATTCCCCTACCCCCCACCATGTATTAGGTCATACATTGACTTCATATTAGAATCAAATACACTGGATTCTTTCTTCCCGTTTTTAATTTTTAATGGTGTTACTACTGCTCCTTGAGAATCTCCTCATCTAGATAGTCTGCTATGGTTTTTTCTCCCCCTTGTTTCCATTTTCCAGATTTTTTTTTTTTTTTTTTTGAGATAGTCTCACTTGGTCACCCTGGGGTTGAGTGCTATGACAGCAAAGCTCATAACAGGCTCAAATTATTGGGCTCAACAGATCCTGAGTAGGTAGGACTACAGGCACCCACCACAATGCCTGGCTAATTTTTCTATTTTTAGTAGAGACAGGCTTTCTTGCTGTTGCTCATGCTGGTCTTAAAGTCCTGAGCTCGAGCAATCCAGAGTGCTAGGATTACTGGTGTGAGCCACAGCTGTCGCTCTGGGTAGAGTGCTATGGCATCACAGCTCACAACCTCCAACTCCTGGGTTCAAGCGAGTCTCCTGCCTCAGCCTCCCAAGTAGCTGGGACCACAGGCACCCACCACAACACCTGGCTATTTTTGGTTGCAGCCATCATTGTTCTTTGGCAGGCCCGGGCTGGATTCGAACTCAGCAGCTCAGGTATATGTGGCTGGCGCCTTAGCCACTTGAGCCATAGGCACTGAGCCATACCAGATCTTCTAAAATGCAAATTTTATTACATTCCGTCCTTAAAAGAAAGATTTTAATCCCTTGGGGCTCTTCAATGACTAAAAGACAGAATGCAGGCTCCTCTGTATAAAGCCTTTCCTCATGTGCCCTCTTACCTGAATTACATTCCCTCTGTTCGTATTTGATCATTGTACATGTGTGCTGAATGAACATATCATGAGTAGGAATGAGTCATCTTTGCCATCCTGACACCTAGGAAGTTGTAACGAGAGCATAAAGACAAGAAAAAGAGTTAAAATACTATTGTGTTAGTCCTGGCAGCAAGGTAATATGAATCTGTAGTAAGGGCTCAGCAAAAAGACAAGATAGGAAGGTCAATATGGGAATGGTCAACTTGCCATTTCCTGAAGCAGCTCCAAACTTGTTGATCATGGAGCTCCTACCATAAAACAGCTCAAATACATGCCCTGATATATGTATAGTGATTATTAAATTACGCATATGAAGTATTATACTAATATACATTGTAAAACAAAACAAAAGATGGGCAAAAACTTATAAATTCTAAGGTTTAAGTCTCAGTAGATGCACTCTGGGAAGTTAGTGCACTTCCACTGACTTAAAGGGTGTATTGGATCTATAGCTTATTAGAGTATAAGTCCCCTTGTTATCTATCCTCTAGCCATCTCCAACTGATCTGTAAGCAATCCCTCGTTCCTCTATACTACCTTTTCACCTCTTTTAAGCCTCCAATTTAATTAATATTTTTTAGTGCTTTATCAGTCAGTAAGGTCCAAGTAGTTATTTCTATCTCTGTTTTTCATTTGCTCTGAGTGGTCCCTGTCTGCAAGTGGTCCCTTATCTGCTCTGGAACTTCCCCCAGTATCACCTAGCACCATCACCAAAGTTGTGAAAGAAGTTGCAAGCATACAGGCAAGGGGCTAAGGTGAAAAAACATGAATCAAAATGACTCAGACTGGTGTTGCAGCAACATTGGGGCTCTGTCAAAAACACACATGGCTAATTGTGACATTGGACTGGCAACTTAAAAATTAAAATGACCCTGGCAGAGCCTGTGGCTCAAAGGAGTAGGGCACCGGTCCTATATGCTAGAGGTGGCAGTTTCAAACCCAGCCCCAGCCAAAAACTGCAAAATATATATATATATATATATGTATATTAAAGTGACCCTTTAATTCATCTTCTTATTGTTGGTGTAAGTAAAGACTGTGTTGGTAGAGTCTTAATTTTTTTCCCAACCAAAGAAATATAATTAGATGGGTTTTGCCTGCATTGTTGAAAAAGTTTAAAAGTTTAACACTTTTTCGGGTGGCACCTATGGCTCAATGAGTAGGGCACCGGCCCCATATACCAAGGGTAGCGGGTTCAAACCCAGCCCTGGCCAAATGGCAACAAAAAAATAGCCAGGTGTTGTGGCAGGCACCTATAGTCCCAGCTACTTGGGAGGCTGAGGCAAGAGAATCGCCTAAGCCCAGGAGCTGGAGGTTGCTGTGAGCTGTGAGGCCACAGCACTCTACCCAGGGCACTAAAGTAAGACTCTGTCTCTTTAAAAGAGAAAAAATAAAAGTTTAAAACTTTTTCAACAATGCAGGCAAAACCCTTGCAATATGCAATATTTCAAACATTCTAATAGGCAGAAAATAATATAAAACCCTGTGTGTCCATCACTAGCATTAAGTAGATGTTAACATTTTGCTTTGTTTCAGATTTTTGTTTTCTTTAACACAGAATTAAGTTAAAGACATAATTAAAGCCTCATTCCTCAGTTTTTTCTCTCCCTTCCCAGAGGTAAGCGCTGTAGAAGGGCTTTGTTAGCCACTTTTCTGGAAAATATCTGATGTACAGGGAATTAAAGAAAAATTTACACCAGTACTATAATGGCATGATCAACAGGAGGAAAAAGAAAGGATTCTATTACAGTGTAAACTAATTTATTATTGTGTACGTGGTCTCAAATTGGTTTGGGATTTTTTTGTGATCCATGTAGCTTTAGACTAGGAAGACATGAATTCCAGCTTCAACTAATAATTTACATGTGCCTGTCCTTGGCTCTGGTCATGGTTTCATCTTCTGTAAGCCAATAAAAACCTGCCTGATAGTTTTTGTAAGACTAAAATCTTAAGTCTTTAAAATATACATATATAGCACAATATAAATGCTTTAAAAGTGATATTAATTATTATTTCCAAGTTAATTTTATCCAGAACTCAAACTAGTCATGGTAGTTAGACTACCTTATTTCCCAACCTTTTTCATGGCATTTTACACATAGGCATATTTATTTAATACTTTGGAGGAAAGTGACAATGACAGTGCTGTTTGGAGTTGGCTTGACATAATTATAGTACTTAAGGGCTCCAAATGTCCTAAGCTACCCATGACCTAAGATCAATAGCTGTGGCCTGGTACAGTAGCTCACGCCTGTAATCCCAGCACTCTGGGAAGCCAAAGTGGGCAGATTGCCTGAGCTCATGGTTATGAGACCAGCCTGAGCTAGAGCAAGACCCAATCTCTAAAAATAGCCAGGTATTGTGGCAGGCATCTATAATCCCAGCTACTTGGGAGGCTGAGGAAAGAGGATCACTTGAGCCCAAGATTTGAGGTCATGGTGAGCTATGACACCACGGCACGCTACCCAGGGCAACAAAGTGACTCTGTCTCAAAAAAAAAAAATCAATAGCTATACTCACCAGACATACCAGTTGGGAAGCTTTGCCGCAGAGGATCAGGGTAGTAATATAACTTGGTAAGCCAGTCAACTTTGATGGTTCCTTGCATAGTTAGAGACTACACCAAGTATGTGGGAAAACCCCTTCGAAAACATGTGCCGTTAATTATGAAAAGAGGTTTGCCTCACCTTCACTGGAAACAATTTTATTCTCTCTTGATCAAATAGCATCTTCTTTCTGGTACAATAAAATGAAAATCCCAGAAATGGCATTAGTTCTTTCTAGGAAAGAACAAACTTTGGATAATACTTTACAGCTTGCAAAGTGCTTTCGAATGCATTTATAGCCTTATGCACTGGTACTACAAGCCCTGTGAAGGAGCTCAAAGATTCTGAGCTCCTTCACAGGGGTGGTGTGGTGGCTCACACCTCTAATTCTAGCACTCGGATTGCTTGAATCCAGAAGTTCAAGACCAGCCTGAGCAAGAGCAAGACCCCATCTCTACTAAAAATAGAAAAATTAGCCAGGCATCTGTAGTTCCAGCTACCTGGGAAGCTGAGGCAAGAAGATTGCTTGTACTCAAGAGTTTGAAGTTGCTGTGAGCTTCTGATGCCACAACACTCTAGCCTTGGGCAACAGAGACTCTATCTAAAAAATGATGGCATGGCACTCTACCCAGGGTGACAGCTTGAGACTCTGTCTCAAAAAAAAAAAAAATTAAGAGATGTATCTGACACCACATAGCCGGTGAAAGGTCATTGAGGCTTAATGTAAGTTTTTCCGTTCAATGTTCTTTCTCAAAGTGAGTAAGAGAGTATATCAGAATTATGTTTCCTCATGCTGCTATATTATTTCTCTGATAATTAGCTGAGGAAAATAAATTTTCACCAATCTCAGTTCCTAACTACTATGGGCTTTATAAAGCCTAAATTAGAATGTACAAAAGGCTCACAGCTCTCTATAAATTTGTCTCCAAGATAAGTCAAAAAGGAGGGTACAGAAAGAGTAGTTTTGTGATTTTCATTATGTTAATTTCACAAGTTTGGCTCGGTGCCTGTGGCTCAAGTGGCTAAGGCGCCAGCCACATACACCTAAGGTGGCGGGTTCGAATCCAACCCGGGCCCACCAAAGCAGCAATGACGGCTGCAACCAAAAAATAGCCGGGCTTTGTGGCGGGGCGCCTGTGGTCCCAGCTACTTGGGAGGCTGAGGCAGGAGACTCGCTTGAGCCCAAGAGTTGGAGGTTGCTATGAGCTGTAATGCCACAACACTCCACCCAAGGGGACAGCTTGAGGCTCTGTCTCAAAAAAAAAAAAAATTTCACAAGTTTGTAAATATAATTTGGCTGAGATTGAAAAAGAGAAATGCAAGTTAATTTTTGTAATTGAGGCTAGGAAAAGGTGACTTAAATAAAGAACAAACAGGAAAATTGAGTATAATTCTACGACCTAACAAATTACTCCAAAATTCAATGGAATTATCATCTCACACATTGCCAAGGGTCAGGAATTGAGCAGTGGATTAGCTGGATGTTACAGGATATTGCCTAAGGTTACAGCCATCTGAAGAATCTAACTCAAGTGGCCTTTGACTGAGGGCTTCAGTTCCTCTCCAACTGGACCTCTCCACAGGACTGCATTTAAACTAGCAGATAACTTCCCCTGAGTGAGGAAGAAACCTCAGTGCCTTTTATGATCCACTCTGTGGTCAGCCACTCTTACCTCTGCTTTTTCCATTCCTTAGCAAATTGCTCCAGCCCATATTAAAGGTTGAGTAGGTGGAGGAAGTTAGATGCCATTCCTGGAAAGGAATATTTCAAGAATTTATGGACATAGTTTTAAATTGCCACAGGAAAGGAAAAGATGCATATGTTCTTGAATCCTTTAAAATTAAGTGGATTCTGTTGAGTGTAGGGAGTGAAGGCAAAATGTAGTAGGATGTAATTAGTATATGAGACTTGCCCTCATACAAATTGAAATAGATAAAATCACTTAGGTATTGAACTTTTGGAGTCAAAAATCAAGAGGTTTGAAAAATGAAATCAAATCAAACTTTTAATTGACTGGGCTTTTTGTAAGGCAATTAAATGATGAGTTTATATAGTGCTACTGCAGTGTTACTATAATATTTTCATGTTAATGGACCTTTAATATGATTGCTATAGATTTCCAACTGATACCATACAGCGCTCAAAATGGATCAGGGCTGTTAATCGTGTGGACCCCAGAAGCAAAAAGATTTGGATTCCAGGTCCAGGTGCTATGCTGTGTTCCAAACATTTTCAAGAAAGTGACTTTGAGTCATATGGCATAAGAAGAAAGCTGAAAAAAGGAGCTGTCCCTTCTGTTTCTCTATACAAGGTACTTAATGTAGTTGTAAACAGAACTAAATTATAGAGCCTTTAAAAATCAAGTTAGTTCACATTATAGCTAAAATCTGCAGAGGGAAAATCCCCAGTATTAAATGCAATAATAGATTGTAAATGCTTTGAAAATTAGTTTTTTAAAAAATCTTTATATGTTAGCATCTTCTCTAGAGCTTTTTAAAAAAATGTATAAATGCAAATCATTTGTCTAGACATATGTAGAGATACTAATTAATCGAAAATTAGTTAGTAGATATAAACTGCCTTAGAATTCAGGTTTTTTCTTAAGTATGAGACAGCTGTCATAATACTTTTAAATTATCTACTGTTTTTGGCTCCTACTGATACTGTTATTGATCTTGACCAAAAATATACCTATTTATTAGCATTGATATACAAAGAGGTATACGAAAAATAGATTTCTGTAAGTAGGTGGAGTAAGTATTTGTGTGACATTCTTATAATTATTTTTATTTTATCCTTTACCCCTTAACTCACAACTCTCATACACTGTTTTCTGCACAAATCAATTAACAGGCAGCTCTTGGAACTTCAGAGTTTGAATTTGACACCAAATTCACTTCTGTGAAGACTTCTCAAATTATTAACACCTTTCTCTATTACTTTAATCATTTCAGAAACTTTCAACATCACATTAATATTTTTATATAGATTTTTAAAAACACCTTGTTTACATGGTCCTATAGCTATACATTTTTAAAAATTCATAGATTATAACCTTTTCTTTTGTACCTAACTCTCCATAGCAACCAGGTGAGTGTAGTATTTGTATTTAGTAGTATTTTTACACGTAATCTAACGTGATGATTTCTAAAATAAACTTATATTTCTGTCATAGGTTCCTCCAGGTGTACACCTTAAAGGTAAAGCAAGACAAAAAATCCTAAAACAACCACTTCCCAATAATTCTGAAGAGGTTGCCACTGAGGACCATAACTATAGTTTAAAGAGACCTTTGACAATAGATGGAGAGAAACTGGCTGAGGTGCAACAGCTGTTACAAATGTCCAAAAAAAGACTTCCCCCTGTAAAAAACTACAGGATGATCAAGAAGAGAAAGGGCTTACGATTAATTGATACACTTGTAGAAGAGAAACTACTTTCTGAGGAAACAGAGTATCTGCTACGAGCTCAGTTTTCAGGTATTTCCCCTAGTAACCTGTAATATTTACAAAATATCCATTTTTCTGAAATACCTTTAAATATTTGCTGTTGCCTATGAAAACATGCTTTCCACCGGAAAGTGGAAATTCTCCACAGTGTAAGCAAGAAGAATGAAAAGTAATTGCCAGGATTCTTTTATATTTTATGGCTTTCCAATTATAAAAGTAATATTTTTATTATAAGAAAAGCAAAGAAATATTTAAATGAGAAAAATAATGCATAATCCCACTAACCAGAGATGAGATCATACAGTGTTCTGTACTTTTTACTTTTTATAAATGTTCTTGTCCATGGATACTGGTAAACACTTCTGATTCCTACATAATTTATTACCAAAGTCTTTTTACAGTGGAGTTGCACTAGATAATTTGCAAAATTTCTTTCAACTTGGAAATATTATCTCCAAATTTTTTTTAAAAATGCTATAGAGTAGAATATAAACCTGTGGACAAGCCACGTAGTCCTCTGTAAGAACTGAATATTTCAGGAGGGACAAAATAACAACTGCTGATTTATTCTTTTTTTTTTTTTTTTAGACAGAGTCTTACTACGTCACTCTTGGTAGAGTGCCAAGGTGTCACAGCTCACAACAACCTGTAACTAACTCTTAGGCTTAAACGATTCTCTTGCCTGAGCCTCCCAAGTAGCTGGGACTACAGGTGCCCATCATGATACCCGACTATTTTTAGAGATGGGATCTCACTCTTTCTCAGGCTGGTGAGCTCAGGTAATCCACCCACCTCGGCTTCCCAAGGGCTGGGATTACAGGCGTGAGTCATCTTGCCTGGCCATTTTTTTGAGACAAGAGTCTCACTTTGTTACCCTTGGTAGAGTGCTGTGGCATCATAGCTCACAACAACCTCAAACTCTTGGGCTCAAGTGATCCTCTTGCTTCGGCCTTCCAAGTAGCAGGGACTATACATACTGGCCACAGTGCCTGGCTATTTTTAGACACAGGGTCTCACTCTTGCCCAGGCTGGTCTTGAACTCCTGAGCTCAGGCAATCCACTTGCCTTGGCCTCCACAAGAGTGCTGGGATTACAGGCATGTGCCACTGAGCCTGGCCTGCTGATTTACTCTTTGACGAAGGCAGCAGAGATATGGCCTTACATTTTGGTCAAAGAGAGGAATGTCCTTTTTCTATAAACAAGTAGGTATCTCTCTGAAGGAGGAGAATATTTTGTGTTTCTTTAAGGGGAGAATAGAGGTAACAAATAGGAGTCTCTACCAGGAACAATGGATTTTTTTTTTCTGTCAATGGTGGATATGTGTCAATTTGAATACGTGTAGGACCCAATCCCTAGAAATGTTTCTCCTAATTTTCACCCTTGATAAATAGTAACCAGGGAACAAAATCAAACTAATAGATGTCCTCATCATCCAGATACTTAATTTTATATAGTTATTTCATTTTCTTCCCTGTTCCTCTAAAAAATCTCTACTCAGGCTGCTAATGAATAGTAAAACAGGAAATTATTTTCTTCTCTCAAGTTTGTGAAATGATTTAAGATAAATAGCATAAATTGCTCAAGGAGCTATAACCTTGGAACAAACACAGTTAAAATGTTACTTTGTTTATATTTGAATTTTGATGCCCAGTGCATTTTATATCCAAATGCTATGATCTGTACTTGAAACTGTTACTATTACCATTTTTATCACAAAGAATAAATACATTTATTTTAACAGATTTTAAGTGGGAGTTGTATAATTGGAGAGAAACAGATGAATACTCTACCGAAATGAAACAATTTGCATGTACACTCTACTTGTGCAGTAGCAAAGTGTATGATTATGTAAGAAAGATTCTTAAGTTGCCTCATTCTTCCATCCTCAGAACGTAAGTGAATTACTTTTTAGATGTTAAATATATTATTTCACTGCATTTTATACGTTAAGACTGTTAGCACTAACTCCCATTTGTTGGTCCATTTTCTCTTTTTAAAAAAATTTTAGGTAGTATTTTCATATTATGACAGCAATATTCTCTTTTCTTTTCTTTTTTTTTGGAGACAAAGTCTTACTCAGTCACCCTGGGGTTGAGCACCATGACATCATAGCTCACAGCAACCTCAAACTCTTGGGCTCAAGCCATTCTCTTGTCTCAACCTCCCCAGTAGCTGGGACTATGGCCACCCACCACAACGCCTGGCTATTTTTTAGAAATGGGGTCTAGCTCTAGCTAGCTTGTGCTTGTCTCAAACTCCTGAACTCAAGCAATCTGCCCGCCTTGGCCTCCCAGAGGGTTACAGGTGTGAGCCACAGTGCCCAGCAACAGCAATATTCATCAACAAAATGAAGACACATAGTCTGACAAAATTTTTGTATCTTGCAGATGTAGAGACATTCTGGATGACAAAATATGAATCCTGGAATACTGGAATTTCTAGTGTAGTTCCCCAGTTTTAATATCTGACTACCCTGGAAAATCTAAAACAGTTCTGGATTGATAACCATTGGTCTGGTCAAAGCATAAAACTGCATTTTTTCTAAGTGCTGCTGTTGACCCCAATGTAGGTTGTCTGGGGACCAGATTTTCCTTAATAATTTTTTAGGATTTCAGATCAAAATACATAAATAGATTTGTAATTCTGTTAGTGTGAAGCAAGTAACACATAACTTTTTAGTATTATTGTCTTATAAACTTAATTCTTAATACATAATTTGTACCATTTTTACCACTGGTTTTACAGACTTTTTAAGTTTTTTATAGAGGCAGGGTCTTGCTCTGTTGCCCAGACTGGTGTTGGACTGCTGGCCTGAAGTGATCTTCCCTCCTCAGTCTCTAAAGTGTTGGGATTACAAGCATGAGTCACCATGCCTGGCCTACAGACTATTTTTTTAAAAACATGAATGAGGATTTTCTTCCACACACACTATTAAAATAATATTACTAATAAAAATTTTAGAAATACTGTATTTCCTTCCAGTTTTTTCTCTGTGCTTAGATTTACCAGTTTTTACGTAGTTGTGAACTTTTGTATATAAATTTCCAAACTGTTTTATCACTCTATTGTATATGCTTTTTATTCATGTTATTTTGAACTGTATAGACACATTTTAATAGATGTCTGTTATCAGAGAGTCCCAGCCTACTTAACTCTGGCATTCTGCAACTATTAGACATTCATATTGTTAACATTTTTTGGTTGTAATTGCTATTACATGAACATTTGTGAATAAGGCTACTGTCTTCCATAATGTGATTTTACCATTCAGGCTATATATTGTACTACTTACTAAAAATGTCTGCTTTCTGTTAAGCAAGAGACATTTTTATAGATTATGTGTTGATCTTTCTCCTCCTGTACCTTTAAAGTTTTTTTTTCTTATTGATATATAATAGTCCTATATATTTGGTGGGTACATGTGACATTTTGATACAAGTCTATACTGTATAATGACCAAATCAAGTTGGAGGATACGTTACCACCTCAAAACATTTGCCTGGGGGAGAGGGGGGCGCTACACCTTCTTTAGTCCATCCCTACTTCTGCATTGGTTTTAAAGCATTGCTGAGTGGTTTTTCACTGTGGTTTATGTAAGATATTTCAGTAAGATATTTCACAAGACTTACCATCTTTTTCTTTCATGGTTTTCTTCATTTCTCATAGTTCTGCAAACTTGGACTAAATCTTCCTGGCAATTCTGGGTCACATTTAACTCTTCTCTTCATGTCATTTTGCATTTTGCAACCTTTGCAGTGACATTGCATGTGTAGATATGATTACAATACTCAGACAATTGCTTATTTCTTTGGTTAATTAAGGTATGTTGTGATAATTATAAACTGTTACATTCAAACAACATCTAAGCATATAAATACCAGGAAAACACAATACTTCCTTCCCTAACCCCATAAGGTAACTACTGTTAGTGGTTTGGTACATACACTCCTAGACTTGTTTTTGGCCAGGGCTGGGTTTGAACCCGTCACCTCCGGCATATGGGGCTGGTGCCCTACTCCTTTGAGCCATAGGCACCACCCCACTCCTAGACTTTTTTAAAAAAAATCTTCCTGGCTTGGCGCCTGTAGCTTAGCAGCTAGGGTGCCGGCTACATGCACCAGGGATGGTGGGTTCAAACCTGGCCTGGGCCTGCCAAACAACAATGACAACTACAACAACAAAAATAAATAGCTGGGTGTTGTGGTGGGTGCCTGTAGTCCTAGCTACTTGGGAGGCTGAGGCAAGAGAATCGCTTAAGCCCAAGAGTTTGAAGTTGCTGTGAGCTGTGACGCCACGGCAT